AGCGCAATTCGTGACCCGAAATCAAATCCTCTGGCCACCTTCGATTCCGACCCTCTTTCGCGGCTGGAATTTCTTTGCTTTCTCGTTAATTGAACCTCCGAGATCGACTCGTTCTTACGACATCGCGGTAATATATTTAGAAACGTAACGCGGTTAAGAACAATTAGATTATCGGTATCGTATTCGATCGTTAAAGCGTAGTAAACCGATATTATTTTCTCGACGCGAGTGGTCCTTCGAACCAATTAGGTAGCGCAATATCCAGCACTTTCGTTAATCGCGGATCGAGCTTTCTTTTTCCGTTACTTTTCGCGGAATTGCGAGTAGTAGTGTTCAATGGTGGTCGACAGTAATTATCTTTAAAAGTAAACTAGAACCGTGCCGGCTAATTCGATGGGTCTGCCTCGATACCCGACGAACCGATTAACCGAATTATCGAGAGCCCATTAACCGAAGAGAAGCCTGTCCGACTTTCCGTAATGCACTTACATTAAAAACGTACTTTAAATTCGAAACCTACGAATTCCTTTCGCACGAGACCTATAAATTTATTCGGCCACGGTCCCGCCATTCTACGACCAAGATTACCATCGGGAATGGGATTACGCGCACCTACCGAAAGAGGTTTTCGCTAACGGATGCAAATATGAATAAAAGCCTCGGCCCTCCGGTTCTTTTTCAACGTTTTCCTGGACTCGTAGCCGGGTCACCTAAAGAAATCTAGCTGCACCGAGCGCAAAATTATTACGTTCCTCGACGAAGCAGGGGAATAGTAGGCGGAGCTACTTCTGTTCGCGAGGTGCACCATCGACCAAGAAACCTAGAAAATCGATACCGGACGCGATACAATCGTAATTTTTCGAAACTTATCGATCCGCTAAAGGAGCAGCGAAAGTTTCTTCTTCGTTTCGGAAAGCGTTCGCGCCACGACCCTCTTTGAGATCCAACACCGGCCAAAAGGATCTTCCTTCTCGCCATTACGTGTAATTTCGTTTGAAGCTATTAGCGGGTAAGATGGTCGTTCTCTGGCAGTCGAAGGAGTAACTTTTCAACGGGTGGTTTCGTTCAACTCTTCCAGTCGGGACTCGGTGCTCCCCTTGTCACGCTCGAGATTCCTTTCTCTCGGACAACCTGCAGTCGCTTTATGAAGTACTCGAATTTCCCTCGAGGCCTGTACAACGACGCGAGACCAACGTAGAGCTACGCCAGACGTTCAAATTACTTTCCGGAATACACCGTAAACTTTCGTGTTCCGTTAAATCGACGACAGGTTATTTATTTTCGTTCGCGGTACACACAGAGACAGGAAAGTTCGAGAAAAACAGGGATAACCGAGAAGCGTGGAATAGGAGTAGGAGGCGGGGGAGAAACGAAGAGCGAAGATGAAGGAAGAAAATTAATTTCTATAAGAAACGCCACTCGATGGAAAAAACCTAAATCGAATTCTCGGCTAACGGTTCTAATTGAACTTCTCGGGTTACCATCGAACTTTCGTCACCGCTTGGGTCTTAAAAACAAATTTTTAATAAAATTAATACTTGTTCGGGAAGTCTCGAGGATGCCATAGGGCACGAATTAATTCACCTTCCGTCGTCGAAGTACTTTCCACGCAACTTCTAACTTTTTAAATTCTCTCGGACTCCAAGTGATTTCGTTTCTTTCTTTTTTTTTTTTCTATAACAAGAAGCTGTGTTTCGTTTGACTTCGGAGAAGGAAGTAAACTTTTGATTTTTATCGATATACTATCCACGCTTTCTTTAATTTTCTTCCCTTCCTTCGTCGAAAATGCGAGAATACTTTCATTCGACGAGCACCGATGCCGAAGGCGACGCTTCGCTCGCGCAATTTCTATTTCGTTGCGTCGAAGCGGAATCGTCCTTTCTTCTCCTGTTGTATATCTCGGTGAACGTCCCTGATAAAAAGAGTCGTTGCCGTGAAACTCGGGACAATCTATTCGTTTTATCGGCACAAATATGCTCGAGGTCCGCGAACGGAAACAACCGTTGCCGCGTACCTCCCATCTTTTCAGAATTACTATCCGAGATGGCAAGTGGAAAAACTATGACTACACGGCACACTCTTTTCGGATCTCGCATGGTAAAACGATGAAACGCAGCCGACGCTATCGCAGGCGCGACTGAACGGAGTCCAGAGACGAATCGCGCCATAATTCCGGCGAAATCGAGAAATCGTGGAGGAACGCGATTCCGCATCGGCGTCTTTTTCCAGTTTCGAGTTCTTAACAAATATGTGGAAGTTCACGGAACGTCTTCGCGCTTTTACGAACTTCCGGAATGCTTCGAGTTTCTGCAGTCGATAGTAGTTTGCTAGTTCCCTTGCTTCTCGCTTTTCATCGCTAGTTGGAAACGTTGTGTTAAATCGCTCTTATTCTCTTCTTTCTCGGACGAAACTGGACTTTCCGCAAACGTAAACGTTGCTCGTCGCGGATTTCATTTCCGTCGCCGTTGCGGTTCACCGGAAACACACGCGTTTACGAAAAATTTTGAAGCTCGGTAAAAGCTACTTGAGCTAATTACCAGTTCTTTTCGATCGTCGTTTAATTTTTCTGAAATACTCGGTAAAACCATGATTAGTCGCTTCGTTTCTCGATCAAACTTTTAATCGACTCGTAACTTAGTCATCTGCGCGTTTAAATCAGAAATTTTCAAACTCTCGGACCATTATATTCCGGAAGAATCCGAGAACATTCCGGACCTGATAACCGCAGCTCGAACACTGACGAACCAATTTCGTTGAATCGATTCGATACCGTGTCCGCGCAGAAATTCTTATCAAATTCGCGGAGATAGTTCGTTCGGATTCGACGAAAATGCTTCGGCAGCGTAACCCGCCGATTAATCTTTCGCAGACAAGATTCGTCGATCAAATTCTCGAACAAACTTACGATTACCTACGACCTAGGTACACGCGTGCAACGGAAACGTTCTTATCGCGTGTTTTGCGAACGTCGGCGGGACCCGCCTCCCAAATTAAATTACCCTCGGCTTTCAGCTAAGCGGAACGATTTAATTGCTCATCTTCATCCTCGGTTTTATACCTTTAGCCGTTTTTATTAATCGTTCTAATGGGTTGCATCATACAGCGTTGCCGCACTAACTTAACCGCAATTTCGCGTTGAAAACGTTATTTAATCCTTTGCGGTACGAGTGCGCCTCTTAAAACTTTTTCATTAGACCCTCCTTACAGTGGTAATATTCGCTTATTTCCTTGTCTGAATTACTCTCGGGTACTCTCGCGATTCTTTACGCGTTGCTATCTATTACGCTAATCTCGCTCACGCACGCCCTCGTATCTGAACGCACGCACTCCAATCCCGTCCCTTTCGCTCGTACCGCGTTTTATCGGCTATGCTTAACTTAATCCCTAACCATCTTAGAAGATCGTAAAAGTTTAGAGTTCTTTCAACCGTGCAAACTCGAAAGAGTCGTTGACCAGAAGATACGAGTGTACTCGTCGGTGCTGATCTCCGTTGCAACAGCGAAATTAACAATTCCGCTTGATCGGTATTTTACGAGGGAACTTTACGCGCAACAAACTCGCCGCGTTTTTAACGCGAGCCTCAGGGAAATTATATCGAAAGATCTCCGCGTTCCCGAAAGATCGTCGACAAATTGCTGGTCGTCTTCCCGCAGTAATTCGAAAATAATTCGACAGTAATTCCAGAGGAACGAGAATAGTCACGGGTAGAGATTCGCGAAAGTAGTCGATACGTATTACGAGGTACACAAAGGTGCAAAGTTTCGTTCTTTCGTAGCTCGGCCAGTTCTCCGTTAAAGTTTTCTTCTTTTCTCTCATTGGCCATAATGTACCGCGGTAAAAGAGGCTAACGCGCCTTCCTCTAAAAAGGGAAGTTCTTATCGCGCCATTGTTGCCCTTTCGTTCTTGTTTCCCAGGAGGTGAACCGCTCTACTCTCGCTCGCCTACCAAATTCAATTAGTTGCTCGCGTCTCCTGGATCTGAACTGCCGTCTGGTTGACCCTCGCGACGTTTTCCCTCCGTCTATCCGTGTAATTCAATTCCTCGTTTATGCGACGGGAGGCAACGCGACACCCTGCCATACCTTTTCCTTCGTTCCACCATTCCCGACCGAACACCGACCAAACTATCTTTCCTTTCTTCTTTTATGTCCCGGAAAGCCCGGATAACGCTGCCAATTAGAATCCTGTCCTTTTTTTTTTCTTTAGGATCGTACTAACGCACCCTCTGACAGTTTGGAACCAGAGTCGACCCGATGTAATTTTTGCTAAAAATCGCCAAGTTTCATAATGGCGAAACGTCGAAGAACCATGTCAAAGAATCGATCTCGCGAATCACGATACACGTAACGCGACAAAATATTGCTTTTAGAGGTATCATAAATCCGCGCATAAAGCGATCTCGATCAAATACGATAATCTTTTTTGCGTCGTTCATTTCGCTGGCTCGTTTCGTTGAATGCTGTTGCTCGTATAACGTCGAACACCCTTCCCAGTTATCAGGTGTACGATAATGGGATATTATATAGAGGGGGACACGACCAGTTTCCGCCGACGATATTAATCTGCGACGATCGATGCGCAATCGCGTAGAAACGGAGGAAAAAGAAAACAAAACAAAAATTTACGAGTTCGTCAACGTAAACGGAAACGAAATCTCTTTCATGTATGCAAATAAATTTCAATTTATCGATAATGTCTACGAATCAAAAATCAACAATACGAAAAACCGAAAGATATAGACACGCAGGTAAAATAGCGTGAAATATAATTCTCTCTGGAATAAATCTTTTGTATGTTTTTTGCCGATGCAATTTATCGTTGGGACGGCACGATGATGAAAAAATTCGGGAGAAATCAAAAACATGGTGCACGATTCGTTAAACGAAAGCGCGTCCGCGTAATTTCGCTTTAATCCGTTAAACACGATCACCGATGAATACTAAACACACTCAATTAAAACTCCCTCCTAGAAACTTTCGAAATTGATTACAAGTGACTCACCTTCAACGTCGTCGCTCACCATGTTTCCGGAATTAAAGAGGTCATCTGAAACAGAAGTTTATCAACTACAACCGATGAAGTTACGTAATCTTCGTGATATGCTTAGACCGCCGACATCGCACGAACCGTTTGATCGTCGAACGACGGAACCGGGTTATTCGTTAACTCGTCCCGAAGTTATTAAAAGCCAAGGGAGTTGTTCCGAATGAAGTGTTTGTCAACGTTTAACAATAACAGGCGTCTTGGTCGCATCCATCGGTATCATGGTCGGTGCGTGTCCGCGCAAAACCGTTCCGATCGGTACATCGCAGATTATGAGTTTACTCGTGCTCGAGCACCGCGATATTTCATCCATCCGAGGGCATTTATTATGCAAATACTTGAATGGATTACCGAACGGCTAACATGGGAAGTAAATTTTGCGCAACAGCGACGCGAATCCTAAACAAACGTAAAGTTATCCGGAAGTATCGACCACGAAATCCTCTAACTAATCTTCCTCGGACGGCCATCGTGATATTTGCTATTAATATTTGCGGACACATACCTAACTGCTATCCGTTCTGATCAACCGTCTGTTTGAATGGTTTCCACGTTCGACGACTTTCATAATTCGCTTTGTCGACTTCCATTTCGCTTTCTTTCTTTTTTTTTTTATAAAACAAAAAAGTTCCGTTACCACCAACGAGCGTTACATGAAAAATGCAACGGTCAGACCATCGCGTACATTCGTTAATTTTAAGTTAGCAGCAAGCTACGATTACAAATTTGCTCCGCTAGCTTCTATTTTTGAAATATATTTTTCTTTTTAAACGAAAGCTAATATTACTAATTATGATAATTTTCACGGTGCATGTACTAGTCGTGTTCGTTAATTTCCAGCGAACAAAGGAGTTATAATTATAAATTCACTTTACAGCGTTTCGTTTGAATCGTCCAGAAAGAACTTTGTTATTAGCTAATAACGATTATTTCGCCAGTGCGTTACGCGGAAATTGCAGTGATAACGGAGTTCTTTTATTGATATTAGCTAAATACCAAGTTATTGTAGTCGGCGATATCATCTTCTACGCGGAGCAGGTACGTGGTAGTGTGTACTTATACCTGACCACGTCTTCGAAAGGGATTAAATTGAATCTTGCGATCAATAAAGTGTCGTGTAATGACCCAATTATGAAGTTATTGGTCGTTGAAGCGCACGAAAGAAAGTACCCCATGAATGTACTGCAATCTCTCAACAATATCCACGTCCGTATTATTTTTTATTATTGAGAAAAATACTGTTGTCGTTTAACGAGCAAACGTCGCAGATCGAGCGAAACGCGAACAATCTTCCATTGTATCGTAAAATAGCACCGGCGATTTTAAAACTACGATTAGAATCACTGGAATATTAAGCGTAGTTAAATTTTCATTATACGTCTTTCCATCGACGGAAGGATGACGAAAGCTTTGAATGTATGATGGAACAAAAGTTTTAAATAGTCGTTTAGACGCCGTATATACCGATCAATTTCAAAGTTAGTTTCCACAGAGAAACGTGACAACTGAACGTTAACGTACAACAGGAAATGAAACCGAAGCAATGGACTAATATAAACTGAAACTGTAGCTGTTATAAAGTCGATCTAACCATCGAACTCTCGGTGAAAATAGCCAAAATTGTGGTAATGACGATCGACCTTTTCCGACTGAACTGAAAATTTCAAATTCGCTAGGAAAACAGATTGCCTTTGCTTGATCGATTAGTCGTCGATCTCTTCGAAAGCGTTTTGATTCCTTCGGAGAAAAATCGGGTTCAATTTTCAGAAAATATTGTTCATATTTGAAGAGATTTGAAAAATTCGTACGTTATTTTGCTTTACTCCGTAAAGGAATCAATTATCGAGTCACCGAGAAATCCGATACCTCGTCACTTTTTAGCATATTTTTCAGTTTGTTCGACCGTATGAATATGCATTTGCCATCTTTTCATTTCACTGTTTTTAATCTGATTAAACCGACATAATGGACACGTAGATGTCATTGACAAAATAAAATTTTTAATGAATACTTTTATGAAATAATTTATTCGTTTACGATTTATTCGCTTTAAAAGCCATCCGCGCAGTGTTTAAACATTTATCTTGCTATCGCGCGAAAATTTAATCGAAGAAACATTAACCGATGACGCGGAAAAGATAACTGAATGAATATTGTAATACGAAAACAAGTAAAAACCGAAATAATTGTTAAAATCATAAAACGATTGTTTTTATTCGAATTATCTCTGGCAAATTTCATACGGTAACGTTAAAACTGTGTCGTATGCTATTATAATATATCACACACGCGGACTATTAAACGTTAAAACAGATATAAAAAATTATAGCAATTTATGTAACGGCACAATAATTATTTTTTAACGTCATGCAAAAGCATAAAAACTGAAATAAATTTCTCGTTATACTTACTCTTAACAGTTATAGTACCACGAGTTTCGATAAACGCAACTATTTAATGGTAAAATTAAAGATCGTAATGAAATAATGACAGAATAATTTCAGGTTCGAGTAAAAGTAATTGTTTGGGCAAGCAAGGAATGAGCCGCTTCGTTTTTCCTCTGTTACCGCTCGAACGCGAGTTCGCTGAAAATTGGTCGATTATACCGGTACGAGTTAACAAACAGTTAACGGGTGTGTGCTACCACACGTGGTAGCGTGTACAATCGAGAGCAAATCTGCTCCCCTACAGTGTATTTTCTCTATGTTCGCTATATTAACAAAGAGCAGAGGTTCCCCGTTCGCGCATTTCAGGGATTTTTGGATATTTCCAAATTTCCCAATTGCCTTCGAAATTTGGGGATCTTGGAATCAGAGATTTAGAGGTCTAGGGGGGATGTAGCTACATACACATTAAAGTTACAATTCTGAAGTCGAGTGATTTGAGAATTTGATAGGCGGAAAATTTGCAGATACACTAAGTACAATCGGGTGCAGAGTTGGCCTTTTACAGATTACACTTTTGTGTTTCCTCATATCGTGCGCGCGTGAAAACAGTGTTCAGTGCGTTTTCTGGTGTGGTGCTTCCTCTGGTTGAGCATGCGCGTTCAGTACACGCGTATACTAGCATGTTTCCCTATGTGGTTGGTCGTGTGTACGCGGGTCTATTAACACGTTTTGCGATGCGGTTACCGTTGTGTTTCGCTATATTTACGCGAGTGTATTAGCGTGCTTTACGTTGTAATTTCCCCCGTATTTACGCGTACAAACCTATACGTATCGCTGTGCTTTACGGTGTGGTTTCTCGCGCGTATACGCGCGTGTGCGTATTTTATGCTTCTCTACCTGTTCCTGCACGTCCTATCTCCTCTTTATTTTTTACGGTTCGAATTCATTCCTCCGAACACGTGATCGATTCGGACAAAAAACGGAGTAATCTGAAATACGCGGAGAACAATGAGACGGTAACGGTGCTAGGGAAACCGGTCGACCATGGATCGTTTCTGGGTCAAATCTAAAGATGCATTGCGGTTGCAGTGGTTCGAGTCAACGATCGGTGAGTCGCGTGTTTTATGGCCCCTCCGGTCTCGATCTTGTCGTAGAATGTATGATCCGAAACGGTACTGGGACGGGATGTATTTTTATCTTCTCGAACGAGCGCGATGACCGCGAATTGCATAATCATATCGGTATTTACGTCCATCTTCCGTTACGCCAGCCTACGGGTCAAGCAGAGTCGAAGCTCGTTTATTCGATCGAGAACGGCTCGATAGAAGCGAATGATCGAGAAGCGGTGTTTAAGGTGGCTAGCTATTGGTAGTCGTCTCTGTGATCCGGTAATCGATATCGTTTTTTACGGATCACAGAGATTTCACGGTTTCCGAGAATCTCTACGAAATGTCGAGGTAGCTACGATTCGCGTTAAACATATTTTCATGTTCGGAAACGTATATTCTACTTTGTCCTCGTATAACGTGACAGCCGTATTTCGCGTTGTAGGAAAGTTATGGTTCGTTTGTGACAAAGGAAAGCAACGTTCTGATCGCGTCGAGAGAAGGATGATAAAACGTGCGATATTAGGTGAATTGTAACGAGTGCGTTTTGTCCAAACGAAAGAGCGTTTTTCATCGCTTCCTCGTTACTTCGCGGTTAAATAATTCCACGGTTCGAGTAGAAGTTTGGTGTCGGTAATAAATTTCGAATGGCACTTTTTATCGGGCGTGCGTTGAACCGCGTATATAATATCGTTCGTACAGGAAAAATCACGGGGGAATACCGGGAAAGTTTGAAGATTTTTAATCCGAAAGTTATCATCGAGAAACAAGCCGAAGCAAAGTTTTGTCATTCTCTTCTTTGTTCCTCCCTTTGTCGGGTTTAGAGATGTTAGTCGTGTACTTAACTCTGCAAAAGAACAATCCGTCTGGTTCCTACCTTCAAAGTACGTACACGATTAAACTTTTCCCGACGAATCGAATTTAACTTTCTGCACCGGTGCAGGTAACTACTTTTGTTACTTGCTCGCTAACAACTTCGTTACACGCTCCACGCTAAAGTACGCTGGAATAGACTGTTGAAAGTTCGGCTCGATGAAAAGACGACCTAACTATCGATTCTGCGTGTGCAATTGTTCGAGAGATAATTTCAACTATTATAGTTATAGGTCTCGAACTACGATTATCGGTGAGCTTATTCGATATCCAATATTTGATACCGGCAAACAATGCCGGACGTAATTACTACGTACAATTGATCTTACGCGGAATCGAGGCTACGATAAATCGTTGCTCCTCGACGACAGCGTTCGCGTGTCGAATGGATTTTTAACGACGATCGACGAAAATAATTACAGCGGGATAATTTGATCGCGGTGACGTTTCGCGTATAATATCATGTAACCGATGTTACGCGGCTTAATCGGAAACAAAGAGGCAAAGAACGCGAGAGTTATGTCACGAGTCACGAGACGTACCCCTGGTTATGTCTTTTTCTCATTAACGTCGCCCTGTATCCCTCTCGTCTTCGTGACCTTTTCGTTTCTTTTAGTCACCGCTGTTTTTCTTCCTTTTTTTTCTCCTACTATTTATGTTTTCTTTTCATTAACGGGCAACTGCCGCAGTTTCGTTATTTTAACTTTACTCTCCTTTCGCGTACTTTATCCACTCTAACGATTCTCATTTTCTTTCAGCCGCGAAACGCTTTATCGTTGAAAACGACGTAAATAAATACCGACTGTTCTTTGTTTCGTCCGGCCGATACACGGCAAATCGAATAATTCGGGAAAGAAACATTTTTCTCGGTGACGGAATGCGATATCGCCGTTAAATTGACAATTTGTCTTTGGACACGCGCGTTATTAAAAAAGAATGGAATGCACAGCCCTGTCGATGCGCCGGATTTTCTACGGCTATCCCGCACTTACCGTTTCCGATATCCCCGTGAAATGCAAACAACGCGTTGAACAGCTATGCGCTCGACTATACACGAGATTATTCGCGTTACATTCTGAAATTCAAATCTTTTTTACCGCGTAATATCGATCCGCCTCTGTGCGCGACAAAAAATCAACTTTCCTCATTGTATGGAAATATCGACGCGTCCGATATTTGCGTACCATATCGCAAAAAAGGGGAAATAAAAGCAAATAGAAAAAAAGCAAAACGAAAACAACGATTCTTTCGTCCATTACGTTTCCAATGTTTCGTTCAAGCTTTGACAAATTTCGTGGTACGTTTCGTAAAATGTTTATCGTTGCTCGTCGTTACTCGTCCCCGATCGAATTTGCACGTAAATTAAACGACTTAACCGTCGAAGAAATATTTACAAACGTATCATAGGCAATTCGCGATCACCTTTAATGCTTATCGTCACGTTTTCGGATCTAAGTTTCGAGCAAGAAGTTAGAAATATATTGCAACTTACCGTAGCCCATTTTGGCGACCAAATTGAGCTTGCACTCGTGTCGGGTGGCGTAAACGTAAGGGCGCGGTTCATCCGGACACCAAAGCACCGGTGGTCCGCAGACGCATTTTCCGGTTGACACGGTGTTTCCGTTCTCTCCGGCCAGTCCCTCGGACACCAAATTACATCCAGGATCAGACATTATCGTCCCGTGCGGACAATGCCGCCTCCATCTGCCCGGAATCTCTGGAAAAACGGTTAACCACGAAAACGAGTTACGGTCAGATCGAAAGATCCATGGGGACGATGGTCCCCGCCGCGGCGTAATCGCTGCCAGCGAATACCGGTTGCGATTGCTTGCGTTCAGGGGTTACAGCTTCGTTTGCCAAAGAACCGATTCTCTTTTTATTTTAGTTTTCTCGTTACACGCGAATTCTACGAATAATTGAAAAGGGCAATCGACTGTTCTCCGCGTACAATCTGCTTTAAAATGATATTGAAAATCCGTGACACGTTTAGAAGTTGGTATTTTAAGAGAGGTTACAAATTTCGTTCTTTGGGGATCAGCGTTAATTAAAAACGTGTATTTTCAATTTTTATTCGAAACCCGTTTTAACGCAACGAAATACCCTTTTTATCGGCGCGTCACGCTATCGGAACCAGACCGTTCATAATCAACCATTAATTTTCGTTCGTAAATAACACGTCGAAAACAATGATCGAACATGGAACGTCAAGTGCGTTCCTAATTGCGCAGCTCGTTATCGATTATACATCGCTACATTTATGATAACAACGTCGTATCGAAACTGCATCGACGATGAGAACGTACAAAAAATTTCGCCAAGTTTCACCACTCGCGGTAATCGCATATTCGACACGCTTATCAGCCGCGGTAGTTACGAATATAATTTATTCTTCTCTGTACTCCATAAGGCTTCTATCGCGCCCGAGAGAATATAATGCGGTTTCCTAACGATACTCGATACCAATTCGAACGGCTAATTCGAATTCAGTTAAGGGAAGCGTCGTGCAAAGCTGGACTACGATCTCGCGGAGAGCTCGGACCAGGAAACGTATCGACGGAAATGCTCCAGGTAATCGCGAAATCGGAAAGAAAGGAACGATTTACGAGGACAAGGGGACGCGAGCTTGATTAGAAGCAACTTGAAAGCAAAGATAATCAGGGCCTGGATCGATAAGTTTAATAATCCACGGCCGAGCAGTCTTGGCAATCGGATTTGCCGATCGGTTTACCGATCGACCTTCCGCGCTTCGAGCAAACCCTAAACGCGAATTCATTTCGAGTTAATGGTCTGAATGCGCTTCCGGCTAATTGGCCGTGGTTTGCCGGGTACACACCGACGGTGAGCGAACGTTCTCCACCCAATCCCCTACCCCTCTTTCGATTAAGAAAATCCTAAATCCTCTTTGAGCCGGTTTAAATTCGAAAAGTAAGCAACATTATCGCGAATTAACGGAAATGCTCAATTTCACTTTATAAAAGACGCACGGATGCGCGGTAATTCTACGGCGGCAGCTCGTTTCGGTGCGCTTTTAAAGGCGTCACACGGATGATTTACGAACCCGATCTTGCGCTAAACGTGCTTCGCGAATATACTACCCACGCATGCAGGGTATTCGACACGATAAATTTTTGCCACAGACCGCAAAAGTTTGATTCGATTTTCGCGGTATCGGTCTAAACGCGTAATACGTCGTTGTTCCACAAATTTCCCGAGTTTATCGAGAGTTTAGCGAAGATTAGGCTAAAGTTATTGTTTTGAAATCTCGTACACGTTCCGCGTATTCTGTTACCGGTCGAAGTTACCTTTTCCGAACATTCCGTATACACGATGCTTTACAATTCGTGATAAATTTCGTCGTCTTCGTTTCATTTCAAGCATTCCACCAGCGAATGTAACACGTAGAAATCATACTTTACGCGAGACGTTCACCCGACTATATTAAATTTCTCGTTTCACGCGCGACAACGCTGAGAAATATTTGCCTGGCACATACTACCGGTACAAAACCGCGCAACAAAAGTATCGCGCAAATTTATTGCCGCGTGAAACAGAAAGGTTGCGCGGACCTCTGATCCCCGATGTCGGTGATCTTCCGGTCATCGGAAAAAATGAACAATTAAATGTTTCTCGTTCGTACACGCGGATTTCTCGAGCACCCGAAACGAAACGGGGTGAAAAGCTTCTCTTTCCAGAGGAGGCAGAAAAATTCGCTGCACGTCGCGGTCCCGGGCAAACGCTGTTGCGAGACAACGAGACGCAGATTCCTGGTTACCAAGTAAATGCCGTTATGAAAAATAACGGCTGCGCCAGACACTAAGTAAATTACACGCGCGAAACGAGATGCGACTTACTCAGTCCGCGCACGTTCGACGAGAATCGTGCCGCGGAATCGTCCGTCGACGCGGAAAGTACACGCGACTATGCTCGCAGATTTTTCGCCGGTCTATCTACGCGCGTGACGCATTAAAAAACGCTAAGAAAAAAAACACGAGTAGGAAGGAAAACGACATCAGAATGTACCGTCCAGCTTGACGGCTATTTGTTTTCCAGCTCGACGCGCGCGTCCGTAACAATTAAACGAACCGGAAACTAAAACTATGCTTTCTCATTAGCCGCGACGCGAACGATGATCGATGCTCCGAGACAATTACGCGGTACGTTTATTATCGTTCGTTTCTACCAAAAATCGAACATCGACCGCAATTCGGTCGGATAACTTTGATCCTATGGAGAAAGCAATTTTTGAGAAAAGATCGATGCGATTCGTGATTTTCTTACGCTGTGAAGTCAGATCGGGAAAAGGCACATAGGAAAAAACAATCCGTTTTTTCGTCGCTTTGCAAATAACTGTTCGAAAAGCAACGTGCAACGACGGTAACGGTTCGATGCCGCGTAAAACCGATGCATATTCGACACAGATTTTTACGGGGATCATGAATGTTTCAGTAACAGCGTATTCGCGGTACCGGAGTTTCGTGGCGAAATCGTTGTTTTTCCGCGAAGAGAAAACAGCCGGGAAGCGAACTTGTTTCCATGGTATACGTAATGTACGATGCCGTAGAAAATTATGGCGAATTCAGGAATACGAGGCACCATCGATATCGCCGCAATACGTTTGAAGAAGGGAACGGCTATTTCCTTTACGCGTATCGATTGGTATTCGATAAAAAAAATGGGTTGCAGAACGATTCGGACATTGCTTTAAAGTTAAAATTACGACAACGCGCGATATTTGCGTACATTTTCGGAAAATCCATTTGTTCAATTGCCTAGATTTTGAAAGCTTCATTTGATGCTTTTACAGATTACCGCGGTCTGCGAGATTATTAACTGTTGAATTTTCAAATTGAATTTCGCGAGTTAATTGAATGCGTTGCCGCAATTAACTATTGGATAAAAGATCCTGGCTTTGCGTTAAAAAACGCATGATTGTGGCTCTGCTTTTGAACGTTTAAAGGTAACGACCTTCCTCGATACTGGCATTTGAAACGCGGGTTAACAGCGTTCTTCCCACGGGTTCGTATGACTTTTGATCCATGTTATTTGGACACGCGTCGATATATGCGCGGATTAACGTTTACAGCGTCAGCGATTCGTTTGTGACAAACTTTTGAATTCGCTATTAAATCATAAAGCGACATTGCTGGTTCATTTCGTTCGACGAATAATAGCCTATACGTTAACATTGTTCGGCCGCGTGTTCGAGCGATCCGAAACGAAATGCAAATAGCCAGAAATACGCGCGCAACTGTACTGCACGCGAACGAGACAGTGTCCTCGGACACGGTAAAAATTGCAGTTTATCCGTGTTCGCTTTCTCTCGATCGGTATCCTATCAAATTTAAAATCCGAAAACCCATCCGACGCAACCAGGTCATGCCGTACCGCGCCACGTATCCATCGATGTTATAACACATCGTGTGTCTCTGCTACCGATTCACGTAATGTCACGAATCGCGCTACCGTAACCACTACCACTGCTACTAGCGCTACCACCACCGCCAGTCGGCCAAGCATAGCTCTGATATCCCAAAGTGCAGGCGTACTCGCACACCTATCGACGCGACGGGTTCGTGTTCACCCACACGAGCAACGACCAACGTAATAATACACAGCTTGCCGAGATCCCAACGGCTCACGCGAAATAAAGCGAGTAATCGATTGCAGCCGTACACAAACCGACGGACTAGCTACCCTATAGACCTGGCAGGATACACGACGAATCCTTCCCTTAACCACTCCGACCGATGCACTACCCTAAATATATTTATACGCTTTCCTGACAACCTATCGCTCCACGAATAACGATATCCGTTCCGCTGCTTATTCCAACGCCTACCAACCTATCCTGCCTCTACCTTCGTTAAGTTTACTTTCGTCGATTACGTCGAGCTCGTGGTAGCCTGCACGCGTGGATCTTTCGGTTTTACAAACTCCGCAAAGCGTATGCATAATAGAAATGGCCACGTTTCCGGTACTTTAGAGATTACTCCGTTAAAATTCAGAGATGCATTCCCTTTGCCATTTTTGTCGTCCATTTCTTTATTTACGACGCTCTCGTTGCATGCTTTTTGACATTTCGCGCGACGTAAGACACGAGTCGTACAATTCGGGTCCTCGTTCGCAAAATTGTCGATCATTGTTTCACGGTAAGACGCGATTATCTGTGCGCGCGTTATAAATCGCGAATCGAAACGCGTCGACGAGAGTCTACCGGTAAACGGCTGGAAATTAATATCGTCGAAGTAGATTTATTTGGATTAATTACGCTTCCTACGCACCGCCTACCACGCATAGCCACCGGAAAATGCGTTCGATCGCGCTACATCGAAAGCGTATCGAAGTTCCCGTATAGGTGAGCGGAATCGCGACGGTGATATATGGAGTTCTGCGAGCGTATATTATACTCTCGCGGAATTTGTCGAGCGCGCTACGTGTACGGAGCCGTAGATGCACGTAGGCGAAGCGTTGCATAGGAATGTTATCCAGCAGCGCGTTCGTTCGCGAGCTATTCTCAAGATTTGTTACTCGACGTTGAGAAACTGTGGTTCCTGCTTTCAGTTCGCGTACCCGGAGCTCGAAAAAATAGTTTGCCGAAAATATGACCTCCGTCGATTCACCGTCATACCCGGGTCGAAACAATTTTCCCGTGTTTTAAAGCGACCCGGGAAAAATATCTGCGAGTCGAAAAACCGGGGGCACGCGTAAAGTCTGGAT